CGGAACAACCCCCCGTCACACAATGGAACAACCCCCCGTCACACAATGGAACAACCCCCCGTCACACAATGGAACAACCCCCCGTCATACAATGGAACTACCCCCGTCACACAATGGAACAACCCCCCGTCACACAATGGAACAACCCCCCGTCACACAACGGAACAACCCCCCGTCACACAATGGAACTACTCCGTCACACAATGGAACTACCCCTCCGTCACACAATGGAACAACCCCCCGTCACACAATGGAACAACCCCGTCACACAATGGAACAACCCCCCGTCACACAATGGAACAACCCCCCGTCACACAATGGAACAACCCCCCGTCACACAATGGAACAACCCCCCGTCACACAATGGAACAACCCCCCGTCACACAATGGAACAACCCCCTGTCACACAATGTACCATCCTGGATCCTATGATTATTATTATACAGGATTTATATAGCGCCAGCAGTTTGCGCAGTGCTTTACAATATGAGGGCAGACAGTGCAGTTACAATACAATTTAATACAGACTGATATGTCTGTTAGTAGATCAGTGACACTGAGGAGACTGATGGGGTGAGCTGAGGGGTAGAGAGGTAGGCAGGAGCAGACTGACAACTCATGGGGCCCCCGGGCAATAGGGGATCATGGGGCCCTTGTGTCCTAGCCCATACTCAAACCACACCCAAAGAAGCCTATGAAAAGTACCAAGGGCATTTCATGGGGCCCCCTACTGACCCCGAGCCCTCGGGCAGTGCCTGAGTTTCCAAATGGTCAGTCCGCCCCTGGAGGTAGGTTTGGGTGTTATCAGCATAAAAATGGTATTGGAAACCATAGGAAGCTAGGAAGCTATCAGCTGACCCAAGGAAGAAGTGTAGATGGAGAATAGGAGAGGTCCAAGGACAGAACCTTGGGGGACCCCGACAGAGAAAGGAAGAGGAGGAAGTAGAATTATAGGTGATGCTAAAGATGTGGTGGGATAAGTAAGATGAGAACCAGCGAAGAGTTCAGTCACAGAGACTGAAGGAGTGGAGGTTTTTTTTTTTTTTTTTTTGAGGAGGAGGAGGGGTCCACTGTATCAAAGGCAGAGAGGTCCAGGAGTACAGAATAGTGGCCATTGGTTATAACCATTAGTAGATCGATTGTGAGATTTAGGAGAGCGATTTCTGTGGAGTGTTGATGGTGAAATCCAGACTGAAGGGGATGAAGAAGGTCATTCTCAATGAGGTGGAGGCTCAGTTGGTTGCAGAGCAGGCGTTCAAGGAGTTTGGAGGAAAAGGGGAGCGAGGAGATGGGGTGCAGGTTAACCGGCTCCCAACCATGCTATAGCCGAAAGATGGCTACAGAGCGGTCGGCTAGTTCTGGAGGGGCGTCCATGGACGTCCTCCTATAACCACACCCCCCTGGGGTGTGTACTGTGTGTGATCTGTGATTGGTGTGTCCTTCAGACACAGCTGATCATGTGTCCAAATAAAGGGTCAATCAGAGATGCCTTTTATCATGTGACCAGCTCTGTCCAATCACATCACAGTGTAAATAGGAAATGCTGGTTACCGACAGTCCTCTCCTCACGCTGAGTGGTGTGTGAGAGAGCCTGTCAAGGGAATTTCTCAGGGGGACATCTACACTGATCGTCAGGGCACTGATAGTCAGTGTAGCCCCATCGGTGCAGCCAATAGTGCCCATCAGTACTGGCTTTCAGTGCCCATCAGTGTCACCTATCAGCGCAGCCTCATCAGTGCCACCTATCAGCGCAGCCTCATCAGTGCCACCTATCAGCGCAGCCTCATCAGTGCCACCTATCAGCGCAGCCTCATCAGTGCCACCTATCAGCGCAGCCTCATCAGGGCCATCAGAGCCACCTATCAGCGCAGCCTCATCAGTGCCACCTATCAGCGCAGCCTCATCAGTGCCACCTATCAGCGCAGCCTCATCAGGGCCATCAGAGCCACCTATCAGCGCAGCCTCATCAGTGCCACCTATCAGCGCAGCCTCATCAGTGCCACCTATCAGCGCAGCCTCATCAGTGCCACCTATCAGCGCAGCCTCATCAGGGCCATCAGAGCCACCTATCAGCGCAGCCTCATCAGGGCCATCAGAGCCACCTATCAGCGCAGCCTCATCAGGGCCATCAGAGCCACCTATCAGCGCAGCCTCATCAGGGCCATCAGAGCCACCTATCAGCGCAGCCTCATCAGGGCCATCAGAGCCACCTATCAGTGCAGCCTCATCAGGGCCATCAGAGCCACCTATCAGTGCAGCCTCATCAGGGCCACCTATCAGCGCAGCCTCATCAGGGCCATCAGAGCCACCTATCAGTGCAGCCTCATCAGGGCCACCTATCAGCGCAGCCTCATCAGGGCCATCAGAGCCACCTATCAGTGCAGCCTCATCAGGGCCCCTTCAGTGCCACCTATCAGTGCAGCCTCATCAGGGCCCATCAGTGCTGGAAACCACTTACTTATAAAACTTTGTAACAGAAACTTAGAAAGACTTTTTTTTCCCCAAACTTTTTGGTCTTTTTTTAAATTTGTTTAGCAAAAAAATAACCCCCCCCCCCCCCACAGTGGTGATTAAATACCACCAAAAAAAGCTCTGTCTCAAAAAATGTTAAAAACTTTGGGTACAGTGTTGCATGACCGCGCATTTGTCATTCAAACTGCAACAGCTCCGAAAGCTGAACATTGGCCTGGGCAGGAAGGGGGGGACAGTGCCCAGTAGGCAAGGGGTTAAGATTAGTGGGGTCCAGGGGGTGACAACATCATTATCAGATTATTCATCTATATAGTCGACATATACCATAGTGCTGTGCAGAGAACACACCAATCCCTGCACCAGAGGAGCTTACACTCTAATGCCCCCCCCCACACACACACTATTCTTATTATACATTTATATAGCTCTGACATATACCGCAGTGCTGTACAGAGATCACTGAGCCAGTCACATCAGACTCTCACCAGAAGAGCTTACACTCTAATGTCCCCTCCCTCACGGTCACATATTATTATTAAAATACATGTACAGTGTATATAGCTCTGACATATCCCATAGTACTGTACAGAGAAACACACCAATCCCTGCACCAGAGGAGCTTACACTCTAATGACCCCCCCCCCCACAGTCACACACTATTATTATTACACATTTATATAGCTCTGACATATTCTGTAGCGTTGTACAATGTGTCTCGGTGTTCTCTGTACAACGCTGCTGTATATGTCAGAGCTATATAAATGTATAATATAATAATAATAATAGTGTGTGTGTGTGTGGGGGGGGGGCATTAGAGTGTAAGCTCCTCTGGTGCAGGGATTGGTGAGTTCTCTGTACAGTACTATGGGATATGTCAGCGCTATATACATGTATTTTAATAATATGTGATTGTGGTGGGAAATTAGAGCGTAAGCTCCTCTGGTGCAGAGCCTGATGTGACTGTG